ATGTACCACCTGTATATCATTTTCATAATATTCTCTCTTAAGGCATTACATGCCGTAAACTTCATACCTGTGGTCCATAACTGTTCCCAGTCAGCGAACATAATGTTATGTCCAACATCTTGTGCCCATTTAATCATAGCAGATTTCACCGTTTCATCCTGAGTATTCCATTTCAACAGCAAGTTATACATTCTTGACAAATTTTTAGTTTTGGGTTCTAACAATTCTGTTTTTAATTTTGACTTTTCCACTTGGAAGCCTATTTTCTTATCCAAGTTATATGCCTCCATTATCTGATAGTAGTGGAGCCAATCTCTCACTTTATTTTTTAATTTTTCAAAACTCTGCAGTCTCAATTTATCTCCTTCTTGCTCCAAAATTTCCCAATATGTCGGCCATTTGGCCTCCATATTGAGCCTTTTCAGAGCTTTTGCTTCCATTGGTGACAGCCACCTTGGGGTTTGATCAGCTCAATGCACTCCTTGACTCACACACTATGTGTGCATGTGAAATCCCAGACGTTAACGCTTTTGGGGAAACTGGTGTGAGAACGCAGTTTTCAATTATGAGAAGGCTGCCAGATCTCAATCTGTATGTGCTTAAAAAAACAACAACACACTGGTGATCTTTGCAGTATCTGGGCGGTGTTTATTTATTTATTTCGAAACCTGGAAGTCGTTTAAATGCTTTAAATGCATTAGGCACACATCCTTAAATCATTCTGCTAGAGTATAGATGCGTAATAGAGACTGGTTTAAATCAGCATGCCCGCGGCAACCACCAAAACTCTTATCTTAGTCTCAGGAAGAAACTTCTTGCAATGGTTTAAGTTAGAAATAATGCTTTCATTTTTAAAAAAAAAGCAAGGAAGAAGAAGAAATCACCCACTGTCAGTTCTTCCAGTTTTGCATTACTGCTGGTTAATACGCCCCTGGACTCGCTGGTATGCCCTGCTGTGTTTAAGCATGAGCTGCGTAGAATCTTCTCAATTAGCTGTACATTCCTCTGTTTGCTTTCCTGATTTGTTCCTTCCCTTTCATCTATCAGATGTTCACAAGCTTTCCATTAGATGTTTCCTGCTTCTAATAGATGTTTGCAATTTGTTTCCTCCTTTGAGCTATGGCGGAGGCACCAATTTATGTTGAAATAACTAGTTTTGCTTGAGACCAGAGGGGGGATACCCTTGTTGCTTTCTGAGGGGTGGGGGTGAGAATTGGGCAGAAATGTTGCTTCAAATATTACTTCAAGTATTACTGGGCACATCATCAAGAATAGGTCACATGCTGGCCCTGATCCAACAAGTTGTGTTGACGTTTCATTGAGTTCTGTGGGCAAAGTTATATGATGTGAATAGGACTTGCGGCGCAATGTTGTGCATGTCTACTCAGCAGTAAGCCCCACAATAGTATAGCACCTAACAAAGTGTATCTACAGGGTTGCAGTCTTAAACACAGCTAACTGTCATTGGGTTATGTCCATTTTCTTTTACATTGTGCCTCTGAAATGAAAATGCTACATGGATGAATACACTTTCTATTTACATAATATTACAGCTGGTATGTATCAATTGGATGATCTGCATATACAAAACTACAAGAACTATTTTGCTATTTCCTCTTCTCCCCCTTAATGAATTTAGGATGTGGTCCTGCCCAGTGTGGGAATATCCCATTGAAATCACTAGGAGGCATGCTTACTTAACTGTTACAGGATTTTAGCGTTTTGGGGTTTTTCGCTTAGGATGCTTTAATTGAAAGAACCATCTTAATATACATATGATCTTTCCACTGTCTAAGCGCTGGAAACTAAGTTTTAACACTGGATTAAACAGAACCTCCTAAAAGTAGTAACGGGCAGAAAGGTCTTCCTACAAAACTGATGTGTTTTGGTAACGAAATAGGGCATTGATCCATTGTTGCTCTTGTTGTTGTTGATTTAATATGCCATGTATATCTGCCAAGCAGACCCTCCATGTGTCCCTATTTCCAGGGACGTCCCTGATTTAGAGAATCTGTCCCGGTTTCTGATTTGATCCCAGAATGTCCCGCTTTTCCTTAGGACGTCCCTATTTTCATCGGAGAAATATTGGAGGGTATGGAATTCTGCGACCCCTGAGACGTCTGAAGCCAATCCTGTATAGGGAAGGGTTTTTTTAAAAAATTAAGTTTAATGTTTTATTTTGTTTTTCTATATGTTGGAAGATACCCAGAGTGGCTGGGCCAACTGAGTAAGATGTATGGGGTATAAATAGTAAAACTATCATTATGGAATGGGACGTCCCTATTTTTCAGAGAAATGTAGGTGCTTTGATCGCACAGGAACCCTCAAAAGAAACCCGACTCCTAATATGTCATTTTCGCTTTGAACTTTTAAGATGATCTGAATGTTACCCAAGCAGCTTCTTGGACTGATCATTTATTTTTATTTTTATTTTTATTAAAAAACCCCAATAATGTCAAAAACCTGGATTTGAATTCCAAATGAAATGGTTTCGGTGGGACCTGGCGAAGGAGTGCTGACTCAGGAATCCTGCTGGGACTTTGTGGCCCACTGCTAAGCAACCGCCCATCCCCGCCACAGCAAACATATGACCACAAAATGGATGATCTCATCTCTAAATCGGCTATTTGATATGCAGATTGCACGGCTGCGGCAGCAGCCCTCCTTCCAATACAGAATTGCTCTGGCAGCAGGTGCAGCATGGGCCTTTTCTCACATTTTAAAGCCAAAATTGGTCCTGAGCACTCGTCCCCACCCCCACCCCCTCTCTGGGTCCTTCACAGCTCCTGAAGCTCTATTATCTTCACGTTGTTGTTGTTTTTTATTTCAGCCTTCCTTACCAAGAAAGCAAAGCTCATCCTTTATGCCCCTTTCTATACCCTAACCCTAGGCCACAAGGAAATAAAAGCAAGTGGGGTGGGGAGGGGGAGGGAGCAGGATCGAGAAGCTGTTCTCGCAGGCAAATTATTGGTCTGTTCCTCTAATGCAAAGCAGGAACGTAAATGTAACACTGGAAAATAATGCATACGTGTGTTTACCTGCTGCCCTGATTCGGAAACCTATGTCTCCTATGAGATAACACTTAGTGGTTTTTTGAGAATTATGTAAGAGCGTGCTAGCTTGTGAAAATCAACTGGATTATTTGCATATACAAAAATTCAAGAACCATTTTACTGTTTCCTCTTCTCCCCCTTCCTGTTAATGAATTTAGGATGTGGCCCTGCTTCCATTGAAATCACTAGGAGGCCTGTTTACTTAACTGTTACAGGATTCTAGCGCAGAATTTCTGTAAACAGCTTGTCTACAATACCATTTCCCCCCCACTGTGCAATAGCTGAACGTGGCTGTCTTAGGTCCCCTGTCTGATAGTGTGGGCTTATTGAATGGAAGCATTTCCCTGCACAAGGTAGGAGAATAAAAGCTGCTATCCTTCTCTGGTGTGGCTCTCACAGTGGTCCCTTGAATAGCAATAAAGCACATGGCAATATAATTTATATTGTCTGTGGTTGCAGGTTAGGTCCTGAAACCCATAAACTATTGCCGTTTTATAGCCATGCTGCTGTTATTAACTAAATGAAAGGGGTATTTGTTCTAAATCTGCAGACTGTATGATAGCTAATCTTAAATTCATCAAGAGCCACTGATGGAAAAGGTGCAGAAAATGCTACCAGGATGCCAGACACCAAGTGCCAGATCGACGAAGTGAAAGGGGGGGGGGGAGAGGTTGTGAATATAACAAAGCTGAGAGATTGCATGGTGCATATTGATTTGGAGCTTGTGGAACCTGCTTTTGTAGTGGGTAATTGATCATCTGTGAGCCTGCAAGATGCATTCAGCTGCTGGTGCTTAAGAGAGGCCTAAATCTTCACAGCGTTAAAGGGGAAAAAATATGAATAAATAGATCTCCCTCCCCCCCCCCCAAGATGTGAGTTGCATTAAAATTTAAATTCAAATAGAAATGCTGCCTCAGTGGGAAGAAGATCTTTGGAGATTTATTCCTCCAGTAAAGTTATGTGCCAGAAGATAATTCCGCAGATATTTCCTGGTGATCTTCAGAAGCCATTGGTTTGCAATAGTAAAATATTTGCAATTCATGCTGCTTTGATCGTGCACAGGTTTTTGTCTGGTATAAATCCCTTTTGGTGGCCTGAAGAACAGAGCACTTACATTTCCAATGCAAATTCTCTGGCTGGTATATACACATACGCACACATATATGAGAGAGAAAGAAGAGAGGGTGAATTTGCTTGGAATTCTTCCCAATTGCATGCGTTCCTTCTGCTGAACTCATTCACAGGATATATACAGAGAATCATAAATGCAATCCCAATAATAATAATAATAATAATAATAATAATAATAAATAACCTGCTATTATTGCCCACTGAGTGGCTATGCATGTATGAATCCAACTGGCTTCCATGTAACTTGAGCAATATGTTCTAGCATGGAATGTAACTCACACAAGTCTTATTGGGTAGGTACTTAAAGTATGTACCCTGTCAATATACATCCACATCCAGTGATCTTAGATAAATGATGGTCCTAACAGTGAACAACTATCTCTTACATCCATGATCAGCTGGGATCATCCATTCTATCAGGTTACAGCAGAAATAAGTGAAATAGAGTTATTCCATTAGCTCTGCTGAGAGACTAACTCCATTTGGCTCCGCCCCTCCATTCCTGTCAATTATAACTTCTGTGCATGAGTCTGGTTGTTTTCCTCTTCCCTCTTCATCCTTTTTTCTTTTCCTGCCATGTCTTTTAGACTGTAAACCTGCAAGTAGGGACTGATTGCTTGTCTTGATTGACGTAAGCCCAAATCAGGAGTAAAAAAAAAAATGCTTAAAATAAATAATAAACATTTCAAAGCTAGGCAGATGCATCATAGAATAATACCAAGTACATCCAAGAGTCATAGAATCATAGAACAGTGGTATTGGAAAGGACCCTGAGGATCATGTAGTCCAACCCTCTGCAACGCAGGAATATGCAGCTGCCTCATACAGGGACTGACCCTGCAACCTTGGCACGATGAGCACCATGCTCTAACCAACTGAGTTATCCAGGCAATTTCACTGCATTGTAACGCAAAGCTGAAGTTGTTCTTGAAGACCTCAGTGCTGCTCATCTGCGCTCCTCTTTTGCCTTTGGCTTGACAAGTACCTGAGGGCTTCCGGTTGCTTCTGTCTACTGCAAGGGCACTTACAAATGCCGTATCTGGTGTCATACCAGAAGGGATTGGGAGCTACTAGGCAGCGTAGGCATTGGGTGCTATCATTGGTATTTCGCCACAAGAGTCATTGTGCCATCCACACTGATCCACAGACCTAAAACTTCCAGCAACCTAAGACTTGCCTTGTATCTGCATCACCTGAAAGCATCTTGATCTGTCTTTGTCGTGTTCTGCATCATCCTGATTAAATTTGTTATTTGTGTCTGAACCCGATCCAAAGCTCTGTTTCAACTCTGTTGACTGCAATGGGGAATGTAACAAATTATGATTTTATTGTTTGGTTTCATACTGTTGTATACCGCTGTGATGTTTTTTTTTAATGATAAAGCAGTATGTAAATTTTTTAATCAATAAATAGATGATGCAATGCAATGCAACGTAATACAACACAACAATGGTTATAACTGTGTCCCTATTCACAGTGGATGAAATTTGCCAAAAAATGAGTCCCTCCAGAGTGGATTAAGCCTGCCAAAGGTCAGCCAGATCCAGCCATGGATTTTTGTACACACCTCCTTTTTTTCCTTTTTAAAAGAAATAGCCTCTAGCTATGTAATTTGCTGCTGAAAATGGATGTAAATTGCATGCATTGTCGCTCCATTTGAGGGGATGAAGCCTGCCAAATTTCAGAAAAATAGGTACAGTACAATGGTTGTCCCACAAGGACAGACATGACCATTCTTGGGTGGGAAAATAGAAATCATTCCCCACCCCCCAGGGGAATTGGGGAAGAAAAGTTTGAAACTTGGAGACATGAGGGAGATGCCATTGCTTAAGAAATCTGCCAAAGTTCAAACAAATAGGCCCAAACACTATTCCACCAGGTGATATTACCTCCATTATTTTAAAAACTGGAAAAATTAGCTTTTTTCTCCCCCTCCCCAAGTACCCTCCATGAATCAAAAAGAGAGCAAGCTATGATTTTGAACTGTTCGTTAGGAAAAAAATAATGATTGGGAAAGAAGTCGGCCACGACTGTAGTCTGTTTACACTCTGCTGTTACAGCCAAAACTCAGAGAATGACTACCTAAGTTAAGAGAACAACTGTTTCTTCCTCCCCAAAATCACTGTGATTGGAGTACACCGAGGTTACAGTTCAGTGTGACGAAAAGCTAAACCTGTCCATCAAAACTAAAGGTCCCCCTCCTCTACACCCCACCCCCTACTGAGTGGTATGATGTTGGGGGGGGGGACAAAAACCACAGAGAGACTTGGAAGCTTAGGGAATCCCTAATTGACATGGACATTGTGATCTGACTCTGGAACGTGAAAGACTCTGGCAATGTGAGGATTAAAAAGAATAATGCAAGCCTCTTTTTCAGCCAGAACTTGCCAGAACTCAGTTCCGGGACCTTTCAGGTGGGTGCCACAATGTCATGCTTTGCGGAAACGGCTTCCTTCCCCGTGGCAGTAAATAGGCAGATCAAAACGAAAGGAAATTCTTACCATTAGTTTTTTTAATAAACACAGCAAGAGACAAAAGAAACCATCTCCCTAGAATGGCGGTGCTCCCAATTAAGGCTCACCCCCCTCTGTCCCTATTAATCTATGTCACTCCTACATCTTGTAATCTGAGCTTGTACCCTCTGAGCTTTCTGTTCTAACACTTTCTGAGTTCTCTTTGTCTTTGAGGAAGGGGGCGAATGCTGTCCAGAGACTGTGAATCTGTTAAGCCTCTCTCTTCTAGTGTTTATTCTGCTAGCTGTTCCCCATCCAGTGTTTCCCAGCTTCTGCCTTCTGAACTATGCCCCTCTGCAAACCACTGTTCCAAATCTATACTGTCCTCCTTCTCCTGGGAAGATTCAGGATCAGGAGGAGGGGATGGCTCCAACCATTCCTCCTCAGTGCAGTCCTCCTCAGCATGGTCCCTGACACATAAATTGCTATTCTAAGAGAATGAGGGGTGTGCTCATGGTGAGTTCCAGCACCTCTTTTTCTAGAAAAATAGCACTGGAATAATGAGATAAAATAGGAAAGAGCTATATAAATCAGTGGGGGGCGGGCACAAGCTCAGGTCCTGTCCCCAGGATTTTCAGTTGCAAAGCATAACCCCACTTAAAAGATCTTGGGAAATCTCAGCCTGGGGCCACCGGTGGCCCAATTGTCTGATTTGGTGAAAAGCAGCTCCCTATGTTCAGAATCCCATACATAAATGAAATAAATGGCATGGGTTTTCATAGGAAAGGTGCATCAGGATTAACATGTAAATTGTCAAGTAAGCAGTCGTGGCGTGAGCAGTAGCAGCAGCTGCAACTTCAGAAGTCCACAGAATGGGAACGACACAATCACATGCTGTTATCATTTGTCCGGGATGCAGAAACTTGCATAAGTAACTTTCAGGTCAGCAGTGAGCGCCATATTTAAAACAGCAGCAGCGTGAGAAGGTGGAGCATGTATAGAGTTAAGCATAGGAGATTTGTCTTCTTGTATAGTATAAGTACATAAGGGCTGGTGGCTTCACTTCCCCCATGCCTATTCATTACTCAGCGGCCAGAACTTCAAGCGACGACATGCATGTGTGAATGGCTGGACGGGCGCAGATGCGGCGCCACATATGGAATTGCCATATCTCCGCAAACCCGGTGCTCTTCAGGGGAGCCAGTCAAGAAATAGAGCGATGTCCCTGCCAGATTGAACCAGCTGCAAAGTGATCTCTTGTCTCTTCCCCTGCCCCCTCCCTGCGCTGCCTCCCTATTCTAGATGAGATTTAAATAAAAGTACTCTTGGTGCACAGCCAAACAAAAGACACCATAGACTCCTGTCCCTTGCATTCTTCCTCCCCCCTCCCCTTTCTCCTCCCATTCTCTCAGCGTGGTCCTCCTGATTCGTGAAGAATGTGTGCTTGGACAAGTTTGGAAAAGATTATCAGGCTCACAAGAGGGTGCAGAAGGGCTTTTTCTGAACCTGCTTTGTGGCATCTGCTTGGAATGGGGGCTTTGGCCTTTCCCCCCCTTGTGGCAGCGCAATGCATGGATTGGGACACACACACACACCAGACCTAAACAAAGGATACTGCTGTCCATGAGCTGAAGGGGCCACGAAGGGGCAGAGGCTTCTTCCTTCAGGTTGCTGTGATGGGGTGGGGGTGCGGGAGAGGGAGCTGAATGAGGGAGATTATTGTTCATGTCTCCTTCAAACAAACAGCAAAGCCCCCCCCTCCCCACACCCCCTTTACTAGCAGCAGAGGAGAGACTCTTGGCATGGAAAATATGACCACAGACCATACAATAGTCGGGGGCTCTCGTCTTCCATTGCCGGAAGCATCCTAAATGTTAAAGAAACAAACGGTGGAGAGTGACCTCCTGCAAGAATTTGATCCAGCAGACAGGCAGTGCTGCTGCTGCTGTTACAACAGTTAACCCATTCGCCACTTGGCTGTGGGCTAGATAATAACCAAAACAGAAGGTCTTTTCAGTGCGTGAGGGCTGCAAGGTCAAGGATTCGCCTAGAAAGCCCAGACAAAGGGCAAACTTGGAATTGTCCTGGGATAAAACCATTCAAAGATTTATGCTCGCCTGTATTATTTCAAGTGGATTCCGTGTTATTTTCGGACGGCAGCAAGAGTTATTGCAATATCAAATGATAACGACGAGTCTGTGTTGTCCAGTGCAGGCTGAAATGTGCAAAGTGAACAGACATGCCTCCTAGCATGGAAAGTTGGGGGGCGAAATGTCTTTTTGTCTAATCTATCAACTATCCATCCTTCTATCCAAGGCATTTTTCCAGCCAGAACTCACTGGAACTGAGTTCCGGCATCTCTCAGGTGGGTGCCATTGCCATTGGTAAGAGGACAAGGGAGGGGTTCAGGGTGAGTTCCAGTGACTCTTTTTCCAGAAAAATAACATTGCATTATCTATCTATCTATCTAGAAGGTAACCTGGAAACTACAACTAATCCAGAATGCTGCAGATAACTGGTGACTGGGAGTGGCCGCCGAGACTACATAACACCGGTCCTGAAAGACCTACATTGGCTCCCAGTAGGATTCCAGGCACAATTCAAAGTGTTGGTGCTGACCTTTAAAGCCTTAAACGGCCTCAGCCCAGTATATCTGAAGGAGCGTCTCCACCATCATTGTTCAGCCCGGACACTAAGGTTCAGCTCCGAGGGCCTTCTGGCAGTTCCCTCACTGCAAGAAGTGAGGCTACAGGGAACCGGGCAGAGGGCCTTCTCGGTAGTGACACCCACCCTGTGGAACGCCCTCCCATCAGATGTCAAAGAAATAAACAACTATCTGACTTTTAGAAGAGATTTGAAGGCAAACCTGTTTAGGGAAGCTTTTAATATTTGATGAATCATTGTATTTTAATATTCTGCTGGAATTTATCATCTATCTTCTCTTGTGCTGGGCAAAGTTTGCAGGATAACCACGCTGAGCAAGTTACTTCCTCAGATGTACAAGTATAAAAGGCCTGTTCCTAGTGGAAGAAATGTGCCTGAGCTTTTTGGCCTAGGATGCAGTTCGGGAAGCTGCACAGCCAGTTATTCTCTTCCACCACCAAGGAAATTCTCACATCATGTACTCTTTACCTTCCAAAACCAGCTGGGATGAATTGTAGTCCTGGATGTTCATGCAAGGCAAAGCCTCTCCTACAACACTTTTCTTGGAGGCAGGCTTTTCTGATTTGTTCCTGGTGTACATAACAAGGGCTAGTGAAAACAGAAAGTCCATTTTATCCACTCAAGGTCAGGCCTTGCAGGCGCAAATGTAGAAAACAGTACATGGTTTTCCTCTCCAGAGAATATGATTATGCATGTACTGATGCAAACAATGAATAACAATTACATTGTTAACAAAAGTAATGCATGGAATAAAATATTTTATAGGAAGCCGT